TGTGGGGGTATCCTTCATTTGATTTGTTTGAACCCCAAGTTGCAGAAACCCAAATCCATCAGCAAAATTAACTACTCAGCGGGCTAGTGTGAAGCAAACAAACAATACCATAAAGAACATCTAACTAATTTTTCTATAGGCACAAAATCCATATTTTAAAGGTTGAGCGCAATAACCATCCAAAAACATCTAACGCACAAAAGGTCGCGAATTACTCTTTGATTTCCTCCATGCGCCATGAAAACAGGCACCTATCCAATCCTATTTTACTTGGTGAATGAGTATTGTGGCTAATAATGTATCATAATAGTTCCAATAGACCAGGTAGTAAGAGGTAGGTTGATAAGCAAATACACCGGTAAATCCACCATTCTAAATGGTTAAATCCACTATATATCGGCCATTTTCAATAGCTATATTAGTTTACCAGCGGGTAAGCAATCAACATTTCTCAACGGGCCACGGCTCCTCTGTCTTCTCCCGACTCACAGGGCAAGTCTGTTCTCGACCTGGCGAGTCAAAAAGAGACCATCTCCTAGTGAAAAAGGTCCTTGATGGTCGTTGCCCTCATAGGTATATACTATGATACTTAAATGATAGATAAGTGATACTAAGGGATACTATAATATATATATATATATAAATATGTAATTATATGTATACATATTACATTCAAGTCGGTCTATGTCCTAATTCAGAGTCATACCGGATAGGTGCTGTATAAGTATGAAGAAAACAAGCGGAATACAAGGCATGTTTGAGTGAAAAGCAAGGCATGTGTGGTTGGATGGATCGATGGATTGATCGGCGGATGGATGTGTAGAAGCACCCAATTAAGCGAACTCTCATTCCTATCGGAAACGTTGACTCAGCTTTCACCCATTTTTCCGGAAATATCCGGAAATACTGTCAAGGGAGTGTCTCACAGTTTACATCATCTACTGCATACCGAAAACGAAGGGCCAACTAACAGCATCTCTAACAACCAGAAAGCCAGTTTTGAAGTCAATCCGATATTCCACCGGGGTCCGACTCGTGCAGTACATGCTTGATTAGCGAGCCCCATCACCAATCTGGGTATTCGAAAGTCAAGGGCCAGGGAACCCGTTCAATATTTGACCATGTAAGACCAAAAAGAACTTCGTCACAGAGGGCAAAGAAACGTTTCACTTTTCGGGGTTTCTTAAAATGGGGGTCCCCCAAAACATAGGTTTCAATACGCTTCAATACCAAAATGATCTAATCTCCATATTAGGAAAGCTCCATGTATCTTTGCATAATATCTCCAACTTGGGGTCGAGGGTCAGACACCATGAATTGCTTCACCAAGAAGCCTAGCACCATTGGAGACATGGGGCTACGCCTGGCCCATGGTTGGATTGTCTTGGGAATCATTTCATCAAGATCCACGCCAGCAGTGGGTGAATGGAGGTTGGACGGGCGATTCAGGGGATTTTTAATGGGATGTTCATGGGAATTCGACGCATTTACACAACGGGATTTTGATGTTACTCCTTTCAATAGGATATCAATGGGGTTGCAAATAATGTACTGTAGGCTTCAATGTGGGTTTGATAGGACAATAGTGGAACATCACGACCTCACGTGGGATTCCCATTTTTGATTTTGAGTCAAGCGTCTTGGGTGAAACTTCATCACCAAGGTTCAGTGCTTAGTTTTCATGGGTCAAAACTGGGACAGGGCGAACCATACAGTGCCCATGGGGAAGCAAAATGTTGATTTACATTTTTGGATGATAACATAAAAGTATATATTTATATTATATGTATATATTCTGTATATATATATTACATAGTTATAATATACAATACATTTGAAAGGTACCAACTACTGCCATGTAAGGACCAACAGGCGTGTTAATCATATCATGGATGGATCAATACAGAGCCTTCAAAACCCACCAGCCAGTTTGTTTGAACAAAACAACATCCTTTCCGTGGGTTCCATCCACATTGTTGGAAATTTATATCACAATTGTTGATCCTGGCACAAGTAGAATTTCGGACCCGCCGCGCTCCCAGCATTTCCACCTGTCCCAGGGAGTCTGCATCATTGACCTGACAGGTTTCAGGAGAGGTGTTGGACCTAATTCCGTCAGGCTGAAAACTCACATTTTCCCTACATTTTTTTGGGAAAATAGCCAGATTCTGCCACAATTGTGCAATCCCAAGGTGATCTTGATTCCAAGTACATGATCTGCGCGGCAGTTTTTTTGTTTGTCCTTGGTGTTGCTGCGAAGTTTTGTTTTGATATTTTTGATGGATAATGGTGGCAGGCGCAGTCAGCATTCAGAGTACAGATTTGGTGCCGTGGTTGGGCGGCGTTTGGGCGGATGCGGCACCTTTGTCCGAGAAGTAATAAAAATCATCCCTTCCCCCTATTACTAAACGTCTCCCAAATACTAAAAACTAGGGTCCATCTCTAATTTCAGAAAATTTCAGATTGGCCAATTGACTTTTAATTGATCCCCTTTAGAAAACAATTTAAAAATAAAGCTACCATTTGTGGGTTTTGCCCCCTAATAATAAAAACTAGTTCACCCCGGGGTGTTTATTATTAGGGTCCGTCCGATGTTTTTAAGTTTTTTATATTAGGGCTTTTAATTTCTTATTAGGGTCCGCTTCGAAAACAATTTTTTGGCAATATTTTAATTGCGTTATATAAGGAAATTTTATTGATTTTGAGATCGGAAAAAATAGTCTTTATTATTAAGGGTTTAACTTTATTAATAGGGTCCGCTTCGAAATCCAATTTTTGGCAATATCTTAATTGCGTTATATAAGGAAATTTAATTGATTTTGAAATCGAACAAACTAGTTTTCATTATTAAGGCTTTAATTTTATTAATAGGGTCCGCTTCGAAATCGATTTTTTGGCACTATTTTTATTGCGTTACATAAGGAATTTTTATTGATTTTGAGATTGGAAAAAATAGTTTTTATTATTAAGGGTTTAATTTTTTGAATAGGGTTCCCTAATAATAAATACCGCCCTAATACTAAAAACTACCTGAGGTGTTTACTATTTTGGGGGGGGGCGTTTAGTATTAGGGGGAAGGGATTAGTAATAACATATTTGCTTGATTTTGTGTGTCTTCCTAGGATTGTGCGGAAAACTGCTGCCAAGTGGCAAATCTCCCAATGCCACCAAAAAGGATCAAATGGCTCCCCAAAATTTTGGAATGAAAACGCTCATTCGATGGATTGCTCAGAAAGGAGTCCGAAAGGTCATCAAAAACGCAAAAGGCAACAAAACCAGGAAACACTGCAGAAACACTCAGGAAAGGAAATAAGCAGAAAAATAGAGACGCAAACAAGGGAGTGAAAGCAGAAAGAAGAGGAAAAGCAATAGAAACAAAGAAGCAATGTCCAAAAAATAAGAAGCAGAAAGCCAAAGAAGCAAAGAAGGAGAGAAGAAGAAAGCCAAACTGAGAAGCAAAGAAGCAAAAAGGCAAAAACATGCAGACAAGAAGAAAACACAAACAAGCACAGAAGCAGAAAAGGAACACAAAGACCCATTCAAGCAAAAAAAACAGACAGGAAAACGCGGATCCAGCCAAAGAGAAATCAGATACAAAAACGCACACCTTAAGCACTACCATTCAAATACCCCGAAACAAATCCTTCCATATCCTTCCCGTAAATCACCGGTGGTTGCACTACGATCCCACTTGAGCTCCCGCACGGGGTCACTCCCGGGAGCGGAACAGCCACTTTCCTCAGGGCGACCCAAAGTGGAGCTGTTGATCTGTCTCCGAGGCACCGGAGCTCGGAGCAAGTGATGTCAAGTGATGTCCAGTGATATCCCGCAAGGGCGGATATCAAGCAAGCCTTTTTTACCAGAATACAATGGATTTTCATAGCGTTCATATGAGTTTGTCTGAAGTTTTAAGGTAAATCCTGAGAACTCAATCGTTTATCATCTTCCCAGAAAAACTGCCAGTTATTGGTAGCAAATCCCCGTTTCTGGACAAACTGAATGAGCAGTGTTCACACCCTCTGTCATGCCATGGTACTGTTTGCCTAAAAGTAGTCGATGATGATAATCGTCTAAGAAGGTCTTTTTAGTGCACAGCGACCAATCAACAGGGGTCTGGGTCACTGCTCGTACCCATCCCATCTTGTCAAGGCGCTCCAAGGGTGGGTGGGAAGATGACCGCTGCATCGCACTACTGGACCTCGGGAGTGAACACATCTGACCTGGCTGCCATACAATCTGAGAATATCTGAGACATCCTATACACATGTGATGAACTATTGAGATGGACATGGGCTTATTTATGTCGTTGGTATGTGGATTATTTAGAATGCGTTGTGCATCCAGAGACAAAGTGGTTACCTGCCAGTTACCAAACTACATGGCCCATACAAGTATATTAATTAATATTGTATATAATATATGTTGCATGAACAAGAACCAACACAGTCTAGTTTTTTTACACAACTTCGGAAGGATTCAAAGTTCAAAACATCACTATCACATCGTTTACGATGATGACCCGCAAAGGTGATGTTTGCAGAGGGCATGTGTTTGGAACCCTGGACGCCAAATTGCTCTGGGGGGTACGTGCACCGGCTTCAAACGGGTATGGCCTGGTCTGCCAAGGTTTACGAACTTTTCCAAAATTCCAAAGACACGATCGCTGTCACTCTTTGTTTGCCTGTAAGACTTGCATGTCTACGAGTCTACGCAAGCTTCTTGGTATGACATTTTGATACATTTTGTAAATAAATAACTGTTGTATACTATTGTTGACTCTTGACAGTAGAAACATTTATAATGGCTTGACATTTGCGTGAATGTCTTGCGCCAACAGCAGTCCGTTCCCCCCAAAAGACACCAGGCTGCCGGACTGCGCTGGCTGTGACAGAGTCAAGGACTGGCTCTGTTCTGAAACTCCCTGCGCTTGGGGTGGCCTCACCTCTGGGTCCCCATGAAAGTGCATCACCTGTACCTGTGAGCTCTGGACTCCCTGCACTGCAGCAGGAGCTTCCACTGTGGATGGTGCATGCACTGCAGGCTGCGGTGCTGTGCTTTGATCTACGTTCTCTGGGATCTTGGGCCCAGCTGGCAACCCTTGAGCTGGCTGTGTTGCTTGGGGTTCCTGCGGTCCCACCCGCATCGCCACAGCTTGAGGCACAGCTACGTGGGACCCTGCTTGCAATGCCAACGGTGCAACCCCTGGCACACCGGGCCTCAAAGAGGCCTTTTGCAACTGAGCTGCTGGCACGCCAGCGAACCTCAAGGGCTCGATGAGTGATGCAACAAGGAACCCAAATGACATGAGGTTGATCCGCGCACTAGCTGTCATTATCGATCATACATTCACTTCTCCGAAACTGGAAACGCTAGCCATTGTTGGGATGCTTCCCTGTACTTACCATCATCTACGGTGATGTCGTCGCGAGATATACGGTTTTCATTTACCCAAATCGCTTGCCCTTAAACTCACTGGTATACATTTGGTTTCCCCTTTATCAAGATGTTTTTCATCATTTTCCATATGAACAGTTTGTGTTTCTTTTGAGCCCCACGGTTCATCTATCCTCTGAGATCCCGTGCAGCGGCAGTGTCGCATGGGGCACTGGTGGGGAGCCGGGTGCTCCACCCGGAGAGGCAGCACGATGATGAAATGCGGTGGGGGCAGCAACCAAGGGCCTTGGAGGGTCAGGGGGAAATCAAAGAAGGCAATGATAAAGGTTTGACATGATGATGATGATGATGATGATGATCATGATGATGATGATGATGATGCTGCTGGTGATGGTGGTGGTGGTGATGATGATGATGATGATTCTGACGACGACGATGATGAAACAAACAATCATCATTGTCAATATCATGATGATGCTGGTAGTGATGAGGAGGGCCAGGAGCGTGTATGATTGAACATGATGCCAATTTGCATCTTCAGACCATGTACTTGGATCGTTGGGACATCTCCAATTTTTGCGCAGGGATCAAGACATCGATTCGAAGTCGGAAATGTACTGGACGACTATGGTTACTATGTCATGTTCTGTCGGAACAATAATGCGACTTGATATACTTACAACATCTTACAACATTTCCTTTATTGGCTAGAGCCATCACAATCCCTACTGATACTATTGACAATTGGTTGAGAACAACATGTCACCTGTTGGCTGTCTGTTCGCTTAATTACATTTAACTACAGTAGATCCTCTTCTCCAGATTTGTTCCCTTGTGAATGCCTTCTCACATACACATATCTCAATGAAAAACGATCATGATATATCATGATGACAGAAACTAGGAATATGATCTGTGTTATCAAAACCTGTATGGAGGTTTCCATCACTGGGGGACCCCAAAATAGAATTTAAATAGATGGTTTATACTGGACAATCCGACAATCCAGTGGTTTATCCTCATTTTCTCCATTGAAATTGCAATAGAGGTGTTTCAGGAAACCACCCTGGGCGGGTCTCCCGGCGTCATGCCACGCGGATATGATACGACAAACCTCGGCCAGGGCAGCGGGTGAACAACTGTGTCCAGCTTCGACACGAATCAAAGCCGGGTGAAATTTGGGCTCTAGGTCTTTAAGTATTAAGATGGATAGTATAGTTAGAATATACTGTAATTAGTATAGTTTTTAATCTTGTGATCTGAGATTTTCCCAAGCATGGATCCAGTCGATGCCTAGTGAGAAATATTCCTCGAATTGGGAATCCTCCTCCCAGGGATCGAAAAAAGTGTTGGAAGCCAAGAATAATGCACTGAATCTTCTCCAGAACTCCAGAACTATGAATGCTTTCTTGAAACCATGCTTCGCACAATGCAAATCTGAGCAAATTGGAATCATATACAAACAAAAACAATGGTCGCCATCTCTGGGCTTATTCCACCAACAAACCATCATCATTTAGAGGACCAGATCGGGCAGGAGGTTGCAAACAATTGCGCAGAATGGATGTTCAATTTCATTGATATTCATTTTTGAAAATCATGAGCAATAAACAACAACCATTCAATCATGCCTGATCTTCCAAACGCTGAAACCAACTGAAATCTAATAAACACGTACCCGACCACGTACCTGACAAAGAGATGCGCCTTGATGATCGACTAAGAGGTGAGAGGTGCTGCGTTTTTTTGGCTGAGGTTCCTTTATCAGGTCAGATTTTGGTGATATCTATCTGGGGGAAAATGGAGTGTACCTCATTTAATGGCAACTGAACCACGGGCTGCGACGTCGATCCCATTTTCAAACAAAACCCAAAGTTTGCATTTTTTCGACCCCAACATGAGTTGTCATGGGTATCCGATTATCTGAAAACATGGTACCAGTAAATCAAATGATTTATCATCTTTCTGGTTAAAATCCTGGCCATAAATTTACTTTGAAGCGACCGTTTCCAAACACACCCACATAGCATGCTTCGTAGTATATCCAATCTTATCTCAACAACAACCATGACATCCCATTACATATCACTATATCTTCATTATATCCCAGTATATTCCTGTATGCATCCCCAAAGTCATCCTCATCCCAGATATCATTATGATATTCCCTATGATAACATATTATAAGTATACATCACATATTATGACATATTACCATGTTGATCTCCATAATTCTGGGTAAAATATACTAATTCACTACTGAAAAGTTCGGCTATGTTGGGATGATTCCCCGTAATCTAACCATGATTCCAGTGAGGTCACAGTGAGGTCACTATAATTGGACACTATTGAACACATCCCCTCCAGTAGATTCACATAGACGCTGCCAGGTAGGGGTTATGGCGTTGGAAGATTGCTTTCCACTCAACATTGGTGATTTTCAGCTTCAATATGGTTCAATCTTATATTACCAGAGGGCAATGATTGATTGATAATTTACCAATATATCTCCATATATCTCCAATAAACAATGGTATCAATATAAATTCAATCTCATATGGCTTCAATATTGTTCAATGTTAATTTACCACATATCCCATATCTTCTCCATATATTCTCCATAGGGCCCACACGATCCGCCCTGTCGCTGCGACCTCAGTACCAAGCTGCCGGGCTTTTTGTTATCCGGAAGCCTTTGTTGTGTCAATGTCTTTTACAACAGATAACTATATATTATATATATATGTTGTATTTATTATTATTTATTTATTAATATTTATTTATTTAAATATATACATATGTATATATATATATACAGTATATACACAGTATACATATAGGTATTCAAATGTAAGGGTTTCCCATAAATACATGTTCCATTCCAAGTTTGGGTCTTTGCATGTTTTTGGAAAGAGGCAAAGTTCAGGTAAAGCCTGTATTGTTTCTCTTTCAACCCGTCCAGGCGTCAAAATCTCACTGGAGTTGCTCCATGCCGTTAGCTCATCCCAGCTCACCCACCAAGATACAGATTTCTTTCCAGTGCCAACTGTTGTAAAGAAATGAAGGGGACAATATATCACATTCTCTCACCATGGATATTCAAATCTCGTATGGGTCCTATGGGTCGAAAATGTCGAAACCCTGGTTCCCTTCAGTTCACAGCTAAAGTTCGCAGGGATTTATGTTCCCATGCCCTCAAAAAAACAAAAAATATGGACATGTAGGTCAATGTAGGTCTTGACGCATTCACATATTGACTATAGGTCTAAGCAAATCACTATTCCGAAATCAGAAATAAACCATTTTCATTTTTTTCCCTACAAACCATCATTTGTGGTGACCCAAATAAGATCTTCTTGATCTCTCCAAAGTTCTGTTCGCATTAACCCCACACTCCGCAGCACAGTGCACCCGGCGCAGTCACCAAGAAACATCTGGAGGCTATGACGAGACCTGACGTGACGTGGCCGGACAAGCAGAAAATCTATCCATTTTGGCTTCCATGTTGGGGAAAATCCATGGGGATGCAATGACATAATGGTCAAAATATGTTACAATAAATTGGGATAATATACTGCTATAATCTGCTATATAACTTATATAACCCAACAACAATATGAGCTGGCTTTCTCCCAATCGGGGGGATTTCGCACCAATTGATGGGCCTTTCAGGGAACATGCTTTTCTCAATGATCAAAATTTGAGGTGACGCCTATTGTCACACCCATCTATACATCTAATATCATCTAATATGGGTTTCCCAGTTTCCCATTCTTGGCTATGTTTGCGGAATAGGGGCTTAGTTTGATGCAACTTTTGGGTGAATCAGATTGAGAGTTGTTGAAGATAATCCTCGTTAATCCCATCTCCCTAATATTAAATACTGTACCTCGCATATGGTCTGCCAAAATGAATAGATCCAATACTAAACCATACTAAACCAGGGTTTCAAGACGGTTGTATTTAATTTTGGGGGATCAGATTAGTTGAGCAATCTCCTTAAACATTGATCTCAGCTGCACGCTCCGTGCTGAGAGTCGTCTCATCCCATTGCACTGTGCACTCTTACGCACTCTTGGACGGATACTCAGCAGCATCAGCCCAATTTGGATACACCAACTACGAGTACAAAATGGGGTTCCAGAAACATCATCAAGATTAGGTGTACCACAGGTAATACATGGCCGTCTGGAAATCACCCATACATGTTTTAGTGGGAACATGATCGAACTAAATGAGAGATTTTCCAGCCATGTTTGATTGCCAAAGAGCAAACCTAAAACACTGATTGTTGCAAAGGGTGTTGCACCTGGTAGGTTCTCGTAGTGATTCCTTGTGTCGGTGCATTCGTGTAGACGCGAGGAGTTGCCGCGGGTGACCGTCCCCACGGTGATCGCAGTGGGGCTGCGATCAGCAACTAGTGTTCATGCAGTGCAATCGTGCTGCTTGCTCAGCTTAGATGAGACACATCTGAATGCTGCGGAAGAAGAAGAAGAAGAAGAAGTCCCCCAGGTAAATTGGTTTATAACCCCAACTGTAGGATCTCTCTACCAATATCTGCGATAAACCATCCAACTTATAACTTGGCTAAACCATAGTAAACCATATATCTATCATAGTAAACCACATATCTACCATGACTATCCATAACTTAGCTAAACTCAGCTCATTAGGGGCGGCGGCGGCCCCAACCAATTTACTGCCCTGTCTGTCACATCCTGGGCTCGCCACAGAGAATGACACGGGGCGGTTGAGCAAGGCCTGGGAAAATCACGCAGAAACTGATTGCGGTACATGGATTAGTCTACGTCTAACTACATGTGCAACTGATTGCAAATGTGTGTACAGTGTATATACAGTGTATAAATAAATATGTATATATATAGTGTATATGTATGTATATATATAAATCATACACATACTGGACTGCACTTGGCTTTTTAGGTACGCATCCATGCATGTTTGGACAATGATTAACACGGGGATCCAAGGTATCAAGCTAGATACCACATCTTTCTAGGAGATTAACATTTCGTGTACTCCTTGCAAGTAAACCAAATGCCATAAACAACTACCATTTGGGAATGGTTGGATTCCAAGCCATCAACATGTTTTTTACCTCCTGGATGGCTAATTGTTGGGTTTAGCATTCTAGCACAGTACATTTGGTATCATTTGGTTGTGTTCTATTGATAATGGTTATATGTGTATGTATATAATAGTGGGGAATAATCATGATAACCATTATTTTAAATCATTTACAATGGCCACTATGTATACATATATATATATGTCATGAGTTATGAAAAGCTGGGCGGCCCTGCACCGCAGCTACTTCAGCCATTCCTGCCATTGGCGCCGGAATCCCGCCAGGATGAGCCAGTTGGAAATGTCTATCGAAGTGACGGCAACTTCACATTATAGTACATTGTATGTATGGCATAAATTCAGATATTATAATCATATGCTTAATCATATATATATACATTGTTTCAAATGACTCATACATACTTTATACATATATATATATATATATACATATTTATATGATATATATATATAACCATATATATATGTATTCACATAATGCACTGATATATATATATATATCTTACACGGTCGCAGTGCAGTTTCAACAAAAAGCTCCCTGTCTCGTCCTGGTCGCGAGCGCATTGCAGATTTGGGCTGGGCAATGAGCCTCGACTGGGCTCACCCCAATGGGGACTTCGCCCAGGCAGTCGTTCGGTGGGATGCTCCGAACCCAGTGAGCCAAGAGTATGGCGGTTTTTGTTCTAACTGCGACTTACGAATACTTATGATATACTTATGATATACTTATGATACCTGTGAGATCCTGTGTACTTATGAGTGGAGTGTAGAACCTGCTCAATAGCTTGATTTGTTTTGTCGAAAGTTCACCGCAAAGCATTTGGTGTGTCCCAAATCACCACCATCACCACCTAACTGCCGCGAAAAAGCTTCTGTAGCATCCGCCCGCCATTGACACTTGCCTCATGTCATCGGTCAAGATCTCTTTCGGAACCCTGCGGCAACACATCCATGATACCTCGGCCTCAAGATGATCAAGGAAACCTGCAGCTGATTCTAGCTGAATAAACCGCACATGCCATGTGGCTGTTGCATCATTCCCAAAAAAGGTCCACCTGTAAATTGACCTTGCATGCAGGAGATGGTTTGGAACATTCTTCCTGCCTGACGACCGCAACCATCCCTAAAACATCCTATTTCACCATCTATTGCACTAGCATAGCATATTGAAACATTCGGGTCTGCCGCCGGAACAAACCAATGAATTTTCAGCCTCCCAGGCCTGGAGCTGGTGCCTCAGCAGGGAAACCCTGGCCATAAACTACCATGACTGGGGATGGTTGGAATCCAATCCATAAAAAATGGTGGGTTTATGCAAATGCATAAACCATAAAAATGCTTATGACTTGGGGATGGTGCGGGTGGCTTTTCTGATAAATCTCACAATTTTCTGTACCTGCACGTACCTCCTGATGACCGCAACCATGTGTGCAATGAGCATGTATATAAACAGCGTATCAACAAGGGTATGATCGTCGCAAGTACTATATTCATAGCTATGTAAACCCCCTATCAACATGGGTAGGGTACCTTGTAAACCCAAGTAGTCCTATCCTCCTCCACAGAAATCTGGGGGTTTAGTACTGGATCAGAGCGGGGTCCAAATCATTCGGTGCATTTCATGCGGCACTTAACATATCTTAACATGGCTATAGCTCAAAACCGTGGTACCCTGATGTTGAATGCCAAAATATCTGGTGATGATAGTAGTTACAGATGTTCGTCCCCAAAAAATCTGAAGATATGGGTTTCAAGCCATCCCCCGGGGCGCGAGGCCCAACGCACAGCGCCCTCAGGTCCAAGCGTTGCATGTCCATTCACTGGAATGCTACTGCGCTGGACCTGTTGGAGTTTTAATGGCCACCTCGGTCCTTTCCCCGGTGATATATATATATATATGTATATGTATATATATATATATACATATGTATATATATATATATATGTGTATATATATATGTATATATGTATATATATATATTATGAAATACTTCCGAAACGAAACCCTGGGAGCCTGATGAAGCAATGTCATCTAGTCATTTTCGGGTCCCAAATGCAGCATTCAACGATGAGCCAATGGGAGACTGTCTTCCAGAATTGGTGGAAAGCAAAGGTTAAACTCTGCCAACAATCTGGCTGAAACTGCCAACATCCTGAAATGTTGGTGAAATGTAGGATCTACTCATTTAGTAATTTAGTAATTTAGGATCCATTGGCGGTTCTCAATTCTACGTTTTCCTTCCACTTGAAAAGTACAAACTTGCGAACCTCCACGGGGATTGTAGTTACACTTCTATTTGCCTTTTATTTCTCACTATGTACAACCTATCACAGGATAATGTCAACCCCGGATCACTCAGATCTGACCACAAAAAAAACATGCGGGATCATGCGGAAAGTTGCCCTCAACAACATTTTGTAAAATACGATCAAAATGGGCACCACCCATTGTGAGAAGAAAACCTGGTGATTTAGCATCCTTGGTTACCATTCCCCATAGATTCTCCAGTGATCCATTAGAACTCAACCTATTCCGATCTGCTTGGATCCCATCGGCACCTGTGGCTCAGGTGGCGTCTCCTCCCCGCCAATGTCAAGGCTCCTCAGGTGGCGACGAAAAAATTGGTGAAGAGGATAATAGACGGTAAAATTAATGAGAGCGTAGTGGGGAATTCAACCAACCATCTGCTGATATGTATAGACATAGAGATATGTACATTATGTGTTATGATATACGATAATATATTTAAATCGGCTTACCCGAAATGTCATTCCATGAAATAATGGCTGTTGAAGAACGGGGTTTCCAGTGAACTATGTTTATCATTTAACCAACAGAGGTTTACCAACCAATGCTCAATTCGTTTAAGGGAAGACGTGAAGCATGGTGTTGGACCAAGTCCCGGCACAAGGCTAATTCCGGGTCACATTGGTAGGCTTTTGACAGAGGTGACTTAGTCATGCCAGTTTCATCAAGTTTATTATGTTATCTTTGGTTTGATGTCTCCATCCTATCCAAATTTGGCAGTACCCAGCTCCAACCCTCCCAAGTGCCATCACCAACTCAGCCCTTGCCCCAGTAAAACTTCCCCATCCCTGGTGAATGGCATTGTGGAGAGTATAGTTCAGTAAGTCTGCACCATCTAGCATCCCAATTGACCTCTTGACCGCTTATGAATCATTCGGAGTGAACCACATGGGACGGTTGTGCTCCAAATGATCGACTGCAACATGGATCATACTACAGTGGATCAAAGATCAATTTTACTTGCATTGTTGACTCCATCTCTCATAACACCTAATATTAATGGATAACTCCAAAAAAAGGGACCAAGACTACACCAGGGTTTCGTTCGAGATCATGTTGAATATTTCGTACAAATCCAAACGTTTGCCGCTCACAACCATCACACAAAATTAGCACTGGAAGTGGGGTGGCAAATTCGGTCGCAAATACGATATGGCCTTTTAGGCTTTTGGGCGAACGTTTCAATCTGCGAGGGATATTAGAAAGGAGGTATTATCTTACCAAATAGTCTATATCCCGGCATATCCCATGATGTTTGTTTATATGTTCATTTTTCTACTAATCCATATGAGCGATTGTGAAAACCCTAGGTTCACGGAAAGGACATCAACAAATTTGGGAAGGTCCCATCGCTTACCACACGTTGGTACAATAATATATGGTAAACTTGGGGGGTATCGCTTGCAGGAAACTGCTGCATTTATATTGATATATATATATATATGTGATGAACTATTAATAATATGTGATATTTGGGTATCGCTAATGTGAATATTGGAGAAATATGATGACATAACCTTGAAAAGGGGTATCGCTAATTTGGGAAGGTCCCATCGCTTACCTCGTGTTTTTAACAATTCCCATCAATTTCCATAAACCAATGTCCGTCGAATACATATTTAGTATTGCCGGGGTTTTTACTGTTGCTCATATGGGTATGAGTTAAACAACAATACTGTTTCCCCAACCCGAACGGTCTCATCAACAGTCTCACCCCATCCCATACCAATCTTTCATATATGTTCACATCTTTCATGGTCAAATCATGTTAAATCCCCACTTTTCCATAGAAAATCAAAGGTTTTATTTCATATAATTTAATCCATCCCCGGGCTTGAAGGCCCTGGCCCGGTCACGCCAAGCATCGTTCGAGGCAGGAAGGTGCCTGTGCCATAAAAAAGGGTGATGCCTTGGGGATGGTGACTATGGCAGGTGAATCCCACGTTAGGAATTGATGAACCTGCTGTAAGCAGCAGTTTACAGTACTTTCTGTACCTGCTACAGAGATACCACATAAATGTTGCCCTATATATATATACACACTCATAGTTTTTAAACATCTTAAATAGTATATGATAATAGCAATGTGCAAAATCAAACCAAACCACTTTTGGCATGATTCCCCTTTTGGTATATTACCGCGTATATATATATATATATATATATATTCACATCTGGCTCTTTGTATATATTTTTATGTATACCGTAGAAAACATATAAAAAACAACACCTTCTAAGCCTGCGTCATCCAAGGCCACACCGATGGCCCCCTGATGTCACCTGTTAGACCTCCGACAGGTTCTGTCGTCCTTGGCTGAGCATGGCTGAGCAACTATTGGATGCTGCCTTCGGTTGATATGGATCCTAGGTATGCCTATGGGATCTAGTGGGAATACATACTAGTATGTACCTTTTCAATACCACTAATGATATCCAATGATACATATTACTGTCAATATTGCATCAACATCTTTTAATACGGTATATAATATGCTGGTATCAACAATATGGATGAAGTTGGCTCTTATTCGGGTCTGTCAGAAAATAAATAAGGCAAACCCAATTCCAATGGGTTCAAATTTCCCAGATGTTCATAGATGTTCTCCATGTATTGATGGCCATAGTGAGGTACACACCGTCTTTGGACAGGCCCATATACGTAGACTCAGTTGCCAAGAGTCAGCGCGAACTTGTCGCTGATATCAAGTTGCAGTTGTCACTTGGCACCTTCTTCAAAAAAAAACCATCCCCTTCAGTCAAAAATCATGTATTTTTCTTTTGGTTACTGTAATGACATGAGTATTTCATTATATTCATATTACCCTATTCTGGTTGGATCTCTGCCTGCTTGACATCTTTTTTGGGGAGGTGGTGGCGTATCTCTCCAATAAAAGAGCCGATGCAAAACCATAGATACCACGAAGTCACATCCCTGTTGTTCATGGTTGTTTCTTAATAGTTTCTTTTGTTTCACTTGGATCTGAATAATTCATTAGAATATTAGGGACGGTAGTATGCAGATCTGATCAGACTTGACTATTCTATTCCCTGGTCTTACCTTCTCCGTTTGCCATACCACAACTAACGTAGACCCTGCAAACTGCCCTCCCAAGAGGAAAACCTCTCACAACCCCCCTATGTGACAGGGTCGATGTGAGTTTGAGGGTAAATCGCCGATTTGTAGACAAACCCATGGACAAACCCATGTCATCCTAGAATTGGTTGGATGTAAATGTCCAAGAAACCGCATTTTGAGCAAAAACCGTGGTTTCCTGCAATTGTTTCCTCCAACGAGCTCATTGATCTATGTCAGTTGGAGGGTAAATCTGATAATCCCCTGTTTTCATGGTTCAAAGCTCAAAGCACATGTTTATGCCTACGGGTTGAAAACCGAACCAGCGTTTTGCATGTTTCTATGTCTTTCATGGGGTTAACGGGGTGGGTTGGGGTGGGGCAATAACGTTCATTTGCACTTCCTCACATATATGATGCAACGCTGCTGTACGTCTTTTTGCACTTCCTCACATACATGATGCAACTCCACTGTATGTCGTCTTGCACTTCCTCACATATATGATGCTACGTTATTGCACGTCGTCTTGCACTTCCTCACATATATGATGCAACGCTGCTGTACGTCGTCTTGCACTTCCTCACATGCATGATGCTACGCTACTGTACGTCGTCTTGCACTTCCTCACATATATGATGCTACGCTAGTGTACGTCGTCTGCACTTCCTCACATACATGATGCAACGCTACTGTATGTCGTCTTGCACTTCCTCACATCTATGATGCTACGTTATTGTACGTCGTCTTGCACTTCCTCACATATATGATGCTACGCTAGTCTACGTCGTCTTGCACTTCCTCGCATGTATGATGCTACACTAGTGTACGTGCTTGGCAGTGGAGATGGGAAAACAGTTCCCACAAAAACCTCTCCAAGCTCACTGCAGAAATTGTGAAGAACACTTAGCGCAGAAGAAAAGAGAGTGCCGCTGAGGTGTTTTACATATCCAGTGAAAAGTACGCGCGTACTTTTTAAGGAAATTGAACTTTGAGAGAGATGAAAAACCACTGTGACTTGTGGAATGAAATCAATGACGAACACTGCAAACGTTGAAAACGCGGGTTCGATAAACAACCCGGGATGTTTATCCACATTAATCCATCTATATAGATCCATGGTAACTCCCCTACCTGCGTTTTCATCCAAGCTTCACCTCACCCGAGCCACGTCGCACCGAGCCGCGATGCTCCTGGGAGATCTTGAAGGCTGACAGTTGGATCATGTTTGGGTGAATATGTAAAGATGTAGATATGGTAGAGAAATAGTATAGAACAGTGTATTTATTAATATATATATATATATTATATAAATACACAATATAATATAATTATTGTAATATTTATATGATCACTATAATATATAGCATGAAGTATATTGTATAAGGATTCCTGTTGATCGCAGGCTATGAACAGAAACACGTAGAAACCTTTCAAATTTTCCCGTGAATTCTCAACACTTGGCAAGTCAGGGATCTCGGTAAGGTTGGATGAATCCAAAGATAGAAAGGATGCTTCTAAATATCTTCAAGGGGACAAAGTACCCCAAGCCAAACGTGTACACACATCAAGCCAACTAGGAATCGCAAAACACGATCCATCAGTGGGAATTCCTGAGGATGGTATCACTGCGAAGAATATTCACAAGGCTGCATTCCATTAGTGGTGGTAGTTGGCGGAACACTGCACTTGCAAACTAACTGGTATGTATGTAGTGTATAAGTGTGTATATATATACAGTATATATATACAGTATATATATATAGTATATATATATGATAATTATATGTATGTAAGATTGTAAGTTCATACACCAGTTCTACATGCAATACTCATGTAATTTACCGGTTACTAATTTGCCTGACCCTCCAAGTAGCTAGCTGCCTCAGCCTCCTGCGCCTTTGAGTTTCCTGTAGGTGGAAGCGTTCCGTTTTGCTCCTTGGTGACAGTTGACACAACCGAGACGCCAAGGGAATGTCCAACACCTTTGATCACCTGGTGATCACCTTTTAGAACACGTTGCGCATCTGACTCATCAAGTCATCAAGTTGAGACAAGTTGAGACAAGTTGAGACAAGTTGAGACAAGTTGAGACAACTGTGACTGTAACAGACTGTGCCAGGCCAGTTGCAGAAGAGACGTCAAAGGTCGGATCATCCCAAGGGCAATCATCGTTATCGTAGAGGCCTTCCAATGTCACCTGTCGAACTCTGCAAGGGCGTTTTTCTTTTTCAGGACAACCTGATCTCTCAAGAAACAGAGTTGCTGGAATGTGGCATTTTGATTTTTCCATAGATGTCCAAAATGGATCCTGTTTGATTTTGCACATGTATACATCATTAGATCCCCATTAATTTTACCATTATATATTTTTTCATATCCTATCCCTATGGATCCAAACACTGTCTGAGAAGGTACTTGGATCCATAGGGTATGAAAACACCATTGCCAACAGTTGAATCACCATGTTTTGGGTGAGGCCATTTCTCTCCACCAGGACACGCGTGAGCCACTTCTGAGCTTAGTGGAGCCAGGGCGACTCGAGGCCCTTCGAGAGGCTGCAATCTGCGCGGATGGCGATGGCGATGAAAACTGGGAAAAAATTGGACACAAACGGTGGGTTTAACTAAGAATAGTTGGGATCTTGAGCTATATTATATGTGTATTGTATTAATATTGTATTATGATTGTTAATATATATATATAGATACGTATATGACAACCTTTCAATGGACAATCGGATTTCCTAAGCTGAAGGATTGACATGTGTTGATTTATTTTAATATTGATGGTGAGATACCTCTTTCATGGGGATTTACCGCAATGGGAATTGTCAAATTTGACCAAGCAACAAATAGGGACTTCATCAATGGCATGTGACACAGCATGTGACGAAGATTGGGATCTAAGCCAATCTAAGCAAACAAATATCATCATCCCATATAATATGGTGGAAAAAACATGTGTGTATATATAATTATATATATATGTATATTTGAATCCACCAATAGATAAGAGGATTGAACCAACCAACATGCATGGGGTTCTCAGTCTGCATGGAACAGGAGTTGATTGGAATCCAACCGCAGTACTCTTCAACTTCTGGAAGTGTAACCAACATTAACCAACTAATCGACAAATTCCAAGGATTAGTGACTGAATCCAAGGAGATTAGATCATTGGAACCTCTCGACCTAGGGATGTGGGATGATCCTGCAGTGACGCACCAAAGAGGCACATTTTGGCACATTTTGGCTAGGCAAAATATGATACAAACTTCGATAGTCAAACAAAACATGTACGTTTCACAAACATATACAAACCTTGTTCAGTTTCTTTCTAACAACAGCCTTTCTGCATCACTATGTCAGTCACAAACCACTTAAATTCTTGTCCAACAATTCGACATGGGACCTATTAATTCAATGTTCCCATGACCAGTTGGTGATATTCCCATTGAATCTTTGGATGAACCAAAATGGGTGTAGTATGCAGTCCCGACTTATAGGTCAGTCTAGATTCTAGATCCAGTGTTGTGGTTATGAAAAGTGCATCTGTTCTTTTTATCATATGAGATAAGTCATGTGTCTATGTAATCAGTTATCACCTTGTAACTGGTTGTACTGAAATATCCCATCAACATACCAAACTGTTGATCTGCGCGATATGGGCATGGGTTCAATTGGATGTATATATGATGTATATACATATATATGTATATAAATCATATACTGTATCCCAGTGCTTCGCATGCTTTCTTCGGACACTTTGACGGCCTTGCCCAGCCTCATCCCAACACACTAGAGTGTCCTTCGATCATCCCACATCTGTTGCAACATTAAAAACAAGTTGCAACACAATTAAAACATACATTACAGTACAAAGCTATATATTGTCATTGAGATTCTTGTTATGATTGCACTGATTACATGTACATATATAAATATATATGTAATTATATGTGTATATATATACGGTACATATGTGTAGAGTAATCTAGTACTGGTATCATATCTGAAATCACAAAGCTCGGATCGCAAGACTCGGAAGCCACGCCCGGGCCTCGAAGGCCGGTGGCACATCGCTCTCAAGTCGTTGCACTCGCTGTTCGAGTTGATCCTAGAATCGCTGGAGGATTTGAAACGAATCACCTGGGGATTTCATGTGTCTTTTTGGTGGGATATATAATGATATACAAGGAGGGCCCTCAATGAAGAGGGCTGAAATCAGCGTCCGTTAGCGACCCCAAATTCAGACCTTTTGCACACACAGCACGAGGCCCCACGTATAGGGTCACAGCAGCGGCTCCCCCCCCACACCCCCAGGATCAATGTTGTTTCCTGGTGTTAATCACTGCAGCAGCCAACTTCCAAAGCGTCAGGTCTTCACAGCAAGACATTTTCGTCAACCTTGATTCCGGGGGGTGCGGGGGGGGGGCCAACATGTGGCCGGAAAGGCCCTTTGAATTAGGAAGAAACACATGTGCCGTCACGGCAGGTGGCACATCACAGCTGCAAGATGAAATGCTTCACTGGCCGTTGGCGATGTCAATCTTTGCATTGGCTCCACTGCAACACTAGCATGCTTCGGTGTGAAACTACTAAGCACGATGTCACAACTTTATATTGGCTCTGCCGCAAAACTACTATGCTTCTGTGTGAAAACTACTAAGGGGAATTTCAAACTTTGTATTGGCTCGGTGGCAAAACTACTAAGGAATTGTTCAATGGACAAAAAAGGAAACACTTTCTTCTATTTCTTTTCAATTGGCAGAATTCCTTAGTAGTTTTGCGTCCAAGCCATTGTGATTTCAATTTCACGGGTTAGTAGTTTTTCATGCGTGCATGAGCTGTGACTCTGCCGTGCCAATGCAAAGTCTGCGAAAATGGTTGGAAGTATCCTTAGTAGTTTTTTGGGGCCACAGCAAAAACAGGTGCCAAAGCACGCAAAAACGTGTTTTTGATGCCTTGGGAGACAGCAGTCGTTAGGTAACCTGCCGCGTGTGACTTCACCACATTCCTGTCTGACTCCTTTAGAGACAGCAGTCTCAAGTGCTTCAGTGAGACATATAGTTTTGAGGAAGCTGCTGCTGACTCCTCGGGAGACAGCAATCACAAGTGCTTCAGTGAGACATATAGTTTTGAAGAAGCTGCTACTGCTGACGGGTCATTTTGAAGGCCAGGAGCCACGAGAGGTCTTGGGTGCTCAGTTTGCCCGCCGATTTCAGGACTCTGCGTCGTTTTTTCTCCCGGCGCAGAGCTGAAACAAAAAGATTGAAAGTACAAGTGGTGCGATGCAGGTGCAATGCAGCTTCACCAAAAAAAACCTGAGATGGGAAAGATGAAGGTGCAAGTGGCATGATGGAATGTCAATACAGCTTCACCAACACAAACATGGCACACAAGGATGAAATTGAACCAGCCTGGGCCTTGACTTCTCGACTGGTTTGCTGCAGCTGGCGTTTCAAGGCCTGCCTTTCAGCTTTCAAAGCAGCTATACGGTCATCCATCCCGGGCACATGGGCTACAGCAGCACCTTCCGCAGCATCCCTTTCCATACCAGCGGCGGCAGACGACATGGCTATAGATATAGTCAAATTGTGTTTTCTGCGACGAGCTGTGAGCCGTGCTAGCTGCAGAAGCCATGCCGTCTGGACAGCTTCCATGCCAATTTTCTCAAACTGCACAACTGGAAGATAGTGTGACAAAACATGGCCGGTGGGGGCCCAAAACTGGGGGCTTGAAAAGTGATGCCAAAGGGACTCCCGTACCATGTACCCCCATAGTATTATGGAAAAAAAATCTTTGTCCTATAGTGCCACCCACGTCTGCAAATCTGTTGGATCCACCCGGAGCGGCAGCATCAAAGAAAAAGAACCTTATACGCGTGCGCCATTTGGCGTCGCGCTGGCCAAACGCATTGCATCTGCTGGGGTGTCGGCCTGTCAGGCCCAGGCCAAGGCACCCCTGCACCCATCAAGTGTTGAAGCGCTTTGTGCACTTGACCTGGGCCATTGCAGCCCACTGCATCGAAGCTTTTCTGCCATTGCCGAGCTGCCCAAAATTCGTGAGGGGCTTGCATGCACTGCCATAGCCAGGCCAGAGGAGGCACTAAACCATGCTCTGAATATGAGCGCAACTCCTGGTGCTTCCTTTTCAAATATTGTTTAAAAGGGGAGAAGCCTTGCAGATCAAGCGGCTGTAGGTAATCCGTTGTCTGCGCTGGGATATATACAAGCTGCAGCTTGCACTTGCGTGCCATTGCCATGACCTGCCGTGGCAGGTGTGCCGGCGCACAATCAAGGAGTATACAACGCCTTGTTTTGACGGAAAACTTTTCAGCACTTCTGCGATCTCTTTGAGAATTTGGGCACTGTTGGCAGCAGAGGTCCAAGCGGACTTTTGCCGCAAAACACGCAAACGAGTTTGTGGCAAAGCGCGCTGGGCGCGCAAGAGCTTCTTCGTGAGTTTCACCTGGGTGCCAATGAAAAAATGAGGCAACTTCCCTTGGATGTGCTTGCAGTTGCAAATCACGCTGACATAAGTAAGTCCACGCACCTCGAACATGTTGCTTCAGCACCTGTGCATGCGGCTGTTTGCCACCTGCTGTCCGTGGCTTTGCCACACATCCAATAGGCGGTGTCATGGTGTGGCCGACGCTAGTCTCATCCAGATTTATAAAAAGTAGCTCCCTGTCTGCGAGCCTGCTGTGGCAATAGCAGATGGCCCGCCAAAATGTCATGACCTGCTCGAGCGTTGCAGGAAGTGAAAGACAAAGCCTTATTATATATAGGGTCCCCAAATATAATTCCGAGGGAAGAAATTGATTGAAAATGGGGGCCTATTTTTGGTGCCAGATTCTGGCCCCAAAAATGGGACCGCCCAACCGGGATTAAGTAGGCTTATACAGGCATGAAACATGAGGGGGACCCATTTTTGGGGCCACATTCCGGCCCCAAAAATGGAGCCACCCAACCCAAAAAAAGAAGACAAAATGTTGTAAGTTGGCTGGCCCGCGCCTTGTCGCGCAGTACAGCGGGGTCTCTGCTAACAACTTGCTTCAGCACCTTCCGGCGGACGCCCCACCGAGCCCGCCAGCGCTGCACCCACTTATTGACCATGCGTTTGTTTGGCACACCCATGTCCAGCTTCTGGCCATGGAAGGCCTCCTCCCACTTCAAAAACGTGTCCATCGCAGAAGGTGCTTGACCATGATTCGTATTGCAGTCATAGACCCACTGCTCCGTGGCTGCTTCGGCCAGGAAGGCTTGCGCTTTGCGTGAAGCTGTGTCACCCAAAGCGGTCAAATCTGGCAGCGGCGTCGTCAGCAACATCTCTTGGATCAAAGCTGCCGTGGGGTACCCATTGCTGCCATAGGATATCGTTGTCAAAGCACAAGCCATGCGGAGAGTCAAATCCATGTTAAAATTCGACAGCATGTAAACAGCTACCACAGTTTTGCGGGCTGCCGCTCCAAGGCCGGCACAGTGCAACCTTTTCCGTTTTTTGGCATTCTGCCGATAAGCCGCTTTCAGTGCTTTGCCGTTCTGCACCAAGGCTTCCTTCAAGTCTGACACCCTGGCATCAGATGTGCCTTCGGCCACACCACAGGGCGGCTGCATGACTGACCGCAGAAAAACTATCTGTCGGCAGACTCATTGAAAACATTCGTGTCATGTCAAACCAATGCTGTCTGATACAGCTGAATTCGAAGGGAAGCAAGGAAGATGACCTAATGAGTGCGGCCAAAGCATGGCCTCGGCATTTCAAAGCATACAAATTCATGTCTGGCTCATGCAAAAAACAAAAACTATATTGCTGTTGCATGCAGTCAGCGCGGCAAGACTTGATTCATATGGCTGCGTCCAGGAAAAACATCGAGGAGAGGCGACCTGTGAGGAGCAGGCAAGACCGAACAATGATGATGAGCCGTCCAATCATGTGGGTTTGTGTTATGACACTGTTATGGAAAAACACTGCTGGTTATCTCTCCACATCATGCAGGTTTGTGTTGTCACAAGGAGGGCCCTCAATGAAGAGGGCTGAAATCAGCGTCCGTTAGCGACCCCAAATTCAGACCTTTTGCACACACAGCACGAGGCCCCACGTATAGGGTCACAGCAGCGGCTCCCCCCCCGCACCCCCAGGATCAATGTTGTTTCCTGGTGTTAATCACTGCAGCAGCCAACTTCCAAAGCGTCAGGTCTTCACAGCAAGACATTTTCGTCAACCTTGATTCCGGGGGGTGCGGGGGGGGGGGCCAACATGTGGCCGGAAAGGCCCTTTGAATTAGGAAGAAACACATGTGCCGTCACGGCAGGTGGCACATCACAGCTGCAAGATGAAATGCTTCACTGGCCGTTGGCGATGTCAATCTTTGCATTGGCTCCACTGCAACACTAGCATGCTTCGGTGTGAAACTACTAAGCACGATGTCACAACTTTATATTGGCTCTGCCGCAAAACTACTATGCTTCTGTGTGAAAACTACTAAGGGGAATTTCAAACTTTGTATTGGCTCGGTGGCAAAACTACTAAGGAATTGTTCAATGGACAAAAAAGGAAACACTTTCTTCTATTTCTTTTCAATTGGCAGAATTCCTTAGTAGTTTTGCGTCCAAGCCATTGTGATTTCAATTTCACGGGTTAGTAGTTTTTCATGCGTGCATGAGCTGTGACTCTGCCGTGCCAATGCAAAGTCTGCGAAAATGGTTGGAAGTATCCTTAGTAGTTTTTTGGGGCCACAGCAAAAACAGGTGCCAAAGCACGCAAAAACGTGTTTTTGATGCCTTGGGAGACAGCAGTCGTTAGGTAACCTGCCGCGTGTGACTTCACCACATTCCTGTCTGACTCCTTTAGAGACAGCAGTCTCAAGTGCTTCAGTGAGACATATAGTTTTGAGGAAGCTGCTGCTGACTCCTCGGGAGACAGCAGTCACAAGTGCTTCAGTGAGACATATAGTTTTGAAGAAGCTGCTACTGCTGACGGGTCATTTTGAAGGCCAGGAGCCACGAGAGGTCTTGGGTGCTCAGTTTGCCCGCCGATTTCAGGACTCTGCGTCGTTTTTTCTCCCGGCGCAGAGCTGAAACAAAAAGATTGAAAGTACAAGTGGTGCGATGC